CACCTTTTTATGGGGCGCATCGGTAGTGGGCTGCGTGGCATCTACAAGGATTGATTTTTGTGGCAGAATGCTGAAAATCTTAGATGGGCTACCATTCGAGTCTGTGTTCGTAGAAGGGGGTTCCGATGAGAAGAGATCTTGACCGTGTTCGAGCAGATCCTCGAGGCCACCTCCTGTCCAACCTTTTCGTGCAAGGGCTTCAAAGATTTCCACCTCTGCGCGGACAAGAGAGGAACTAGCTTCGACCACCTTGGTGCTCACATCTTGACAGTCTCTCAATAATGCTCTTGAATGTTCACCGTGCAGTGTTGTAAGACCATCAAGTCTTGTAGTCAATTCCACCAGATGCCCTCGGAACCCTCGCACGTCTCGCTTCCTCTGCTTGTGTAGTTTCAGCCCTTCCTTCTCCATTTTTTGTATTTCTTTGCTCCTGTTCTTCACTTCCTTCCGATATGAGACCTCCTCTTCCTCTATTTGCCTACCCCAATTGTCTAGTTCATGCAGCAAAGGCACCTCAAATGATCGGTATACACATTCTGAAAGTATTTGCTGATGGTTCGCTATCAACTGGTGTACCCCACTAGCCGACATCAGGTTGTCTCCAGTACAATTCCCTTTTGCAGTAAAACTGTTGCTGAGACTGCCACCAGGGGGAGCCAAGGCTTCGGATCTTGCTTCTTTTAATCGTGCACATGCTTCTAGAGCACTACCAAAAGCAGATGCAGAAGAGCTCAGCTCTGCGAGTGCTAGTCGATAGCTTTTGGCGGTGCTAATGAGTTCAGAATAGGCGATTTGGGAAAGTTCCAGGTCGGCTTTCGTAAGGACGGCGTGGGGTGGATGAGGAACTGGTGGAGGGGGAAGCGCAAGGGAAAATGTGGATGCGAGGGGAAGTGTGGAAGCATATGAATAAGTTGGAGATCCGGGGAGGGGACGTTGCGAGGGGGATCGTGGTCGAGATGTCGGTGGTGCCATGATTAAATCCGCTTTGTTTACAAATTCGAAGTGAAGCTTGAAGGGAGTAGTTGGAAGCTCAGGCACATCCAAGTATTATGAGAGGCCTACAGAATATCGAAGACGCACAATAGAACATTCAACAATTCAAAATATTATTAACATAGTGGTTTAGAAGTTATGCGCGTGTTGACGACCAATAAAACAAGATAGTTTTTGATAAAGATACCTACCGAGTATTAATATTCAAGATAAGAGACATGCAAGGATTTGCTCAACAGTGGGTGCAGGGGTTCATGAGAGGATAAAAATCTTGAATCTGAGGAAAGCTTCTGCGCGATTGCTTCAAATGCTTCGAGACTTGGTAGAATTATCTGTTTTGAATCATGTAATCATATTGTAGGTTTTTATCGAAATTCAATGATGTTCGAATTAATTGTGAATTCTCCCATTCAATTTTAGAAGAGTTTCACGAATCCGTGCACCACTATTGACTTAATACTTTTAGCGCGATAAGGCGGGGAGAGCAAAGCTCGGAGAGTTAGGTACTTTAATTGCTAAACACAAACAATCTGAACTAACCTCCTCTCTAACTTTTTTTTATTTGCAGATCTAAAAAAAACATAGAAGCACATCTTTGTGTAGGTATCTCTTGATATTTTAAATACCTTCTTTCTATACAAGATCTGCAACGGTCACAATTCACAAAATGCCTCAACCATCAGCTCTTACTATCCCCGCAGTCACAAAGCACACTGCAACTGTCATCATGGCCCATGGTCTTGGTGATAGTGGTGCTGGATGGGTTTCGCTCGCAGAGAATTGGCGTCGTCGCTCAAAGTTCCAAGAAGTCAAATTCATATTTCCAAATGCGCCTGCCATCCCCATCTCAGTCGTAGGATAAGCCGACCATCTTCAGAGAAATCTTCCAGCTAATAAATCATTCAGAACTTTGGCATGACTATGCCAGGTTGGTATGATATCGTAAGACGCACTGATTCCGTTCGTCTTTGCAATTATACTTCACCCTTGTTTTACAGAAGGATTTCGCTGACCACTTTCAATGAAGACAACCTTTAGTGACCTCCAGGCCGAGCAAGATGAGACTGGAATTCGACGTTCCCAAGCTTACTTCCATTCGCTCATCAAATCCGAAATAGAAGATAGCAAGATTCCGTCCAATCGCATTGTGCTCGGCGGTTTCTCCCAAGGAGGCGCAATGTCTATTTTCTCCGGTATTACATGTCCAACACAACTCGGAGGTATCTTTGGTCTGAGTAGTTATCTGTTATTACATAACAAGCTTCGAGAAATTTTGGGCCCAGATGGAGGCTCCAACAAGCAGACCAAAATCTGGATGGGCCATGGAGATTCTGATCCTCTTGTTAAACCGGAATGGGGTATCAAGACGGCAGAGGTGCTACGTGATGAAGGCTATGATGTTGAATTGAAAATGTATCCGTAAGTGCAATGCTAAGATTCGTTCTTTTACAAGGTTTTATGCTAACTCCGTCAAAGAGGTCTTGAGCATTCAGCCGATGTTTCGGAGATTGAGGATCTTGAACAGTACCTCATCGGGAGAATTCCACCAGTTGGGGATAAAGAGAGTCTATGACTAGAAGAAGCCAACCTCAAAACGCCTTACAATTTAGCGGTGCTAGTGTGCTTCTTCCTAGTAACATTCATGGCTTGGCGCTGGTTGCAGAGAAAGGGAAATGAGAGGACGGGAGATACCAGGACAGAATAATTTCAATTAAATTTTCCCGATTCGAAACGTGAATAGGTCACCAATACAGCCGCAGGACGGGCTTTAATAGATAGAGTGTTTGAAATTTGGTTAGCGTGTCAAATGCAACACTTCTCTTTCCTCGAATCGTTGTTATTGTGTCGTTTCAATTTCCATCCAAGCTCAACTTCTAGGACAAAGGAATCTGTTTTTGGAAAGACGATTTTTCTTTGATGTCAAAGATCCTTGGCACGTTGATGCTTCGAAAACTGTTTCCTGAGCTTCCAGTTCGCTGAATGACATTGACTCTAAAATGTATCAACTAAAAACAGAAGCATAATGGCACAACCTGGAGCACTTGCATTTGACACGGCTGCAGTGATATACATTAAAGCCCTCCGGAAGAAGAACATAACTATTCGCCGCAATAAATGGAGAGCCGACCCTGGTTTTAATCATGATAATCACAATTTTGAGGGGCACATTGCAACCGGTGGATTCGGTGTTGTTCTAAAGGTCGTCAATTCAGAAACGAAAAAGCCCTACGCCTTGAAGCTCCAGTGGAATCTCGGCAAATTCGAGTTGGATCTTCCAGAGGGTGCTCTTATACCACCTCTCACGCCCAGCAGCGAAGCCACCAAGAGTTCTTCTCAATCAGTCGAAAGACTAAGTCTCCGCGCGAAGCGGGATTCCGAAACGAGAATCTATCTCCGCTTCATCAGAGGCGGACATCCGCACATATGCAATCTCGAAGCATTCGTTCAATACGTACCTGAATACGGTTATGACAAACCTGTTCTGGGACTCTATTTCGAATACTGCGATGCGGGTAGCTTAACGAGCTTGGCGAAAGGATTTCGCACTCATCGTGTCAAACCACCAGAATTATTCATCTGGCAGATCTTCTATGAGCTGGTGAGCGCGGTTGCGTTTCTGCATAATGAACATCCGGATTATAATACGACGAGTCAACATAAAGGGCGCGATGTGATTTTTCAGAATGATATGCAATCGGGGAATGTATTTCTGCAATGGGGACCCGATCGAGAAACCGGATATCCGCACGTGAAGATTGGGGATTTTGGGGTTGCGTTTACGCAGCCTCCAGGGGGTCACGTCCCTAATCTCGAGGAATACGATGAGCCGAATCCGGATGATGAAGACTGGGAACCGCATGATAGGAAGAAGAAGGGTGAGGTTTGGTGGTTGGCCGCGGTGGTGTACGAGTTAGCTCGTACCGGCGTGGTTCTTGGGACGCTGGATAAGGATAGAGGGAAATTGCTGAATGTTGATCCGATTGAGGGTCATCTGAGTGGGGATCTGGATCGAATGCTTAGAGGGACGCTAACAGCCGATATCGATCAGAGACCTTTCTCCGGAGAACTTTATCACAAGCTTAAAGGGGCTTATGAGGGTCGGGTAGGATTAATGTATAGAAAATTACCCGATTGGGCGGGAAAAGAGGTTTTACAGCATACGTTTGATGAAAACCGAATGAAGAATCTGGATGCAGGAGCACTCGAGGTTGAAATGGCGGAGAAGGAAAATGCAGATGCTATCAAGAGGATTGAAGGCGAAATGATGGAAGCGTGGATAGAGGCTCACACTACAGATGAGATAGAGAAGTTTGATGAAGAGGGAGGGATGGCAAAGATGGAAATTCAGTTCCATGAGCAAGCAGTGAAAATAGCAGAAGAGAGGCGGGTAAAAGCTTTAGCTGAAGCGGGAGTTGGAGCCAGGAAAAAATAGGGTTTGATGATTATGGATATCTTTGAGAATATCCTAGAGCATGTGGCAACAATAAACGAATCGATCTCACTTTCCTGACTATATCTCACTCTCATCTGGGTGTTTCCTGTTACGATTCTTCACACAACTTAAAAAGATTCACACAAAATTCTTGATAGCCAAGGTTGCAACCCTGTTTGGTGGGCTTTCAGTATTGAAAAAAAAGATAAATTTGGTTGATGCAATGCCTGGTTTCGAGTGGAGATAATGTTCACTTGGTTTTCAAGACTCAAATTCAGTTTATCAAGTAAAATCTTTTTGGAAATTTAGAACCTATCATCCACGAACTACACTTCATAGTACTGGATGCTTTACAAGCAGGTAGTACCCTTTAAAGGATAATTAGCTATGTTCATACCTGGGACTCCTTGGAGCATATGTGCTTGAAATATCACTCCTCCCTCCGCCTTTTTTTTTAATCAATTATAAAAACATATCTCAGAATCCTGTACTCTGCAATACAAACCTGTCACCCATGGAAATCTTCAAGCTAAAATGATAAAACCGAAAGGAGAAAAAATTATCAATTAATTAATACTCGTATATACAAAGATTCTTGCGCCTGGATATCTCCCACTAATAATAAGTCTAGCTGATCTTTCTTTGCCATATTCTATTCATGATCGAGCTTTCGATTATATACCTAAGCGCATCCTCGGCCAATCACTTGAGTCAGAACCTCGCTAGCTGTGCTAGGCACCTATATAAAGTCGTCTCTTAGTGAAAAGATGAGCAGGATTTGTAATTCCTGATTGTGTCAGATATTCATGAGAATATCAGAAATTATGCAATGGCTGAAAACAATCCCTGAATGTTGTCTCCTGAAGTCAGCCCTAGTCAGGGGAAAATCTTGACATTGAAGTAATTATCCAAGGTATCTAGGCGTATAAAAAGTGAGTGGCCAAAACTAAAAGAAATACGGTACTAATCGAAGGGTTATGAAATCTTCGGTCGGAGGCTGACTTGGAAGAGGTCATGCTACTGCTGATGCCTATAATTGTGCTGGTGGTTTGGGTACTAGTGGAGCTGGCGCTGAAACTGCTACCAGTACTTGTACCAGTACTCGCTGCAACCGCCGTCTGAAGGGCCAGCGTGACGTTGGTGGGAATTGGAGAATCTATCCACCCATTTTTCTGTACTTGCTGAATTCCAGCGAACCATGCTTTCGCCATTTGCTGATATCCGTAATCTGTTGGATGAAGTCCATCTACCAAGTCATTGACAGTGACATAGTCCATCATGTTGACTGTGGAAACCTTTTTGCCAGCGGCAACTTTAGATGCAACGATATCGGGTATCTTGGAATTGAAAGCGACCATTGCGGCATTTACGGTAGTGTTTGAAGCGGGAGTAAGCTGAGCAACTATGAGAGTAACATTTGGAACTGCAGAAGTAATTTCATCGATGAGTCCACTGAGTCGCTCTGGAGCTGTAGTGACATTGTTGAAATTGTTCATGTCGTTCGTACCGGCCATAAGCAAAACCAGGTTTGGATCCTCGGGAAGAGATAACTTCGCATATTCAGCAATTTCTGAGATGATGGCTCCCGGATGACCCTCATTGAAATTGTCACTCATGTTGCCTGCTCGGACCGAGCCCACATATTGAACGGTGTTTCCAGCAGATGTGAGTAGATTGCGAAGGCCAAGGCGAAAGCCATTCCCATCACTAGATAAGAAGCCATAGGTTATCGAGTTGCCGAGAGCTTGCTACGATAGTCAGCATGCGTAGTGGTTAGAGACAAAGAAATCAAAGGCTCAAGTCGAAAGTGTCTACACCACGACCAAGATCTTAAGCAGGGTGACTTACAATTCTGAGGCTGTTGTCAGATCTCGTGACATTAAATATTGTGTCATTGGATCTCGTGCTATTGTACCCGCGAGTGTTCACATTGGGAAAAATTAATGCTACAGAAGCCTTAGTCAGAAAGAAATGAAAGTGGGTGTCGATGCAGATAAACATACCATTAGTGCATGACAGTAGAATGCTAATGCATATGTTAGCATAAAGAAGGAAATACATATGTACCGCAGATGTAGCAAAACGAGATGGGAAAACGGGGAAACCATCGTCACTTTCGACGGGGTACCATTGTCTTTATGTCTACTAACAACAGACGCTTGGGAGACATTTTTTCAACGAGGGGTGTTCCACATCATCGATACGTATTGCGCAGCCTAGATGCAGTCAAACGTTCAAACAGGGATGGATTGATCAGACGGCCTATTGAAGGTCTAAACACTAGAGCAAATGTGAAGCAATTGTAACCTTCATGGATAAAAGGTATCCCATTTCGTGAGAATAATTCTACCTCTCGTGAACCCCGCTGTGACCGACAAAAATCTATAGTCATAAGGTACAAGCCCATGCTTCAAGTGATAGCTGACATCTAAAGCGCGTAAAAGAGGCTATGGTTTGACGTAAGAATCAAACGTCGTCTCATTAGAAACACCGAGCACCGTGCAGATGGATTTTTTCTGGAGAGGTTTCCACAGATTTCACAGATTTCATAGATAAATCTCAACGGTCGGGTGATTCCGAGTAAACACGAAGCCTGCATCCATGTGGTGTTGTTTGATCAGTGAAGAGCTTGGATTAGGCTAATTGTTGATACTACCAAGGCCAGAGGTGGTGTGGCCTTCGAACGTGGCGCGAACAAAGCCGGGACCCTTTTACATATCACGTGGATTACTCGGATATTTGTGTTTGGAGAATGAAATTCAATGTTGTAAAGCTCGGAAAAAATTCAAAATATAACTAACACAAAAATACCAGACAATCTATTGAAACTTTCTATCTACTCTATTTGATAAGCTCTCTGGAAGAAATTTTGTTTCAAACTCAGTTTAAATAAATGGCCCCCCGCATGCATCGTCCATTGTCCTTCAATTATCGTAACTCGAAACCCTTCACCCGCTCTCGGACCTTTTCGAAACAAATCAAGATGGTTCTTCAAAAATTGGATTGCGTATAAACTTTCTTTCTTGTTTGCATCGATGTGAATAAGATGAGACATCCCTCATCACCACCAAGTCGAGGAGTACGCGTAGCACACAATGCGTATCTCTGATGTAGGTTGAGATACAATTGTTTGTTTCAATGAAGCGTACTTCCTGACATTGAAAGCTATCGTATCTTTCAGACACGGCGTGCGTTGGGATTCATCGGAATGCATGCTGTAGAACTGATCCGGAATATAGTTTGTGTAGAGATGCGGAGAAGAATCCGATATTTGAGGTCCCAGTGTTCTCATCCTTCACAGTCGTCTGATGGTTGAAAGTTCCAGTACGGATAGAAGTTTGCCATGCTAAGCGAAACAAGACAAATTTTTATCGAAATCACCACGCCACCCCCTTCATCTCTGAAGCAAAGCATACGACTTGCAATTGCACTCAGTTGTCTTGGCAGGATTACACCGATCCATTACCTCCCTTGCCAGCTGATTCAAAAACCCTTGGACGGTATCCAAGAACTCTTCTCTCTGTACCAGAAACGAACCCGAAACACTTCGATTGGAACTTGAAATGTCTTTATCCGATACTCTCCTGACGACGAATTGATTTAGGCGACGAAGGTTCCTCCGTAATGGATACAGATTCTTCTCCAACATTTTTCGAAGATCACTCGAATTCCCCCTATTCGATTGAAAACATTGTAAGCTAAAGGAGAGACCAATTTGTAATCGACGTAAGTGTCCGTTTGCGCAGCTAGTCTCCACACAAGATTTCAAGATGTTGGCAATCTTTGAGTGTGAGTAGCTGTTGATTTGAATCGTGAGATCCAGGGTGTGTACGTATTGAAAAGCTGGGGGCGGCTTGATGAATGTGTAGCCCAAGAATCGAATACCATAATTGCTGATTGATGTCCGATAAGGTAGGAAACAGTAAAGTTCGTTCAAGACTTCTCGATAAATCATTTGGTTTGTGTGAAGGATCGGCGGTGAGTAGAGTTTATGCTCTTCGCAGCGAGATTTCGGGTGGTTTGGATCCCAAGCCGATGTCCAGTCGAAGTCTGCCGAAGGGTCAATTGAAGGAATAAGGATTCGGTAGATCATTAGCCTAATCTCGTATGGGCATTTGAGGATGGGAGGGATCCCGCTTCGGGTAGAGGTGATTGAATCGGCAGACATATTGATATCTCTTTTTTGATTCTTGGAAACAACTTCGTCGAAATTGATTGTAGAAACGTGAGTGGGATTGATTCTCAAATATCAGAACTGGGTCGTACACTGTCATTATCATGGTTATGCATGTATGACGACTGACTCGATCCGCTGCTCCACCGAAAATTTGGTGATTACCGGTGAGTCTCCGTGGTGGAATGATGAGTGGCCATATTGTTAGTAAGGTGGAGAGATGTTTCCCGCCCAGTCGTAAAACGGGAGGGATCTACCACCCCCGTTACATTGAACAACTCAACTTACTGGATTTGACTTGCTTTGCATGTCAAATCAAAACCTATCCACTCCATTTCATGATAACGATCTTCAGTACTACACGTGATTAGCATGTGAAGAGAATGATCTTTTCAATCATCGTTGATACGAGATACTATTCGTCCAGTCTTCTCGTGTCGGTGATTAGATTGGGCATCTGTAACAGATCTTCAATCAATTGAACAAGAAAAATCGAATGACTTGCCAAAATACCTGAGGGTTGAGCTCCTTCATATCAGCACGTTTCATGGTGTGTTTCATCCCAAAATTCTCATCAGTCGTCTCGCTGTTATCAATTTCGAAAACTCCCTCGCATCCCAACTTCACTATTCACGAATTCAATTCGACAATCACGTCCCGACATCAATTCTCCTCGAAATGTCCCCCGACTTCCCCAACCTCCTCTCCCCCGCCTTCCTAACGTTCTCCACCTGTCCTCTCAACCCCACCGCCGATCCCTCCTCCACTGCATCTCCTAATGAGACTTCACCCGGGACCCCCCGAAAAACATATCTTTTAGCAACCATTTCCCAGAATATGACGCTTTCCACCACACCAACTTTTATATGTACAGATTCTGCTAGCGCGTCGTTCGCGCTAACGATTATTCTCGAGTCGCCATTGACGCCTGCGCAATTGGAGGGAAGTGGAAACGGGAGCATGAGTGGAGATGGAAATGATTTTGATATCAAGAAATTGAAGAAAGGACACACAGTTGTGGTGCCGAATCCGAGGAGGCATGGGGTCAGAGAAGGAAAACAGGGGTATATCAGGTGTGGGTGGAGTGATCTTACTGTGAGTTATTTTTGCGTTCTTCAGACCTGATTCAAGGCTGATGAAGAATCGCAGATCATACCATCCTCTTTGGATAAACTGTTGGGAATGAGTGAGAGGTTTATTAAAGCTCGTGAAAGTACTGAAGAAGACAGCCGAGGGGTTCTGGTGACATGTCAATCATGTGAGAGGAAAGATAGCGAGGAGCAGCTTTCGAGATGTAAAGGTTGCAGCGAAGTTTGGTATTGTGGCAAGGTATGTTTTCCTATCTGGAAAGATGACTCGTTGAGTGGTTGGTAGGCTGACTACGAATACAGGAATGTCAAACTAAAGGGTGGAATGAACAAGGTCACAAGAGTGAGTGCAAGGTTCTGAGAATGGTGTGCGGCATGAACTTGAAAGATTAGATGATACAGTGTAAGAGTGCTTTAGTGCTCAGTAATTAAGGAAAGCTGTGGTAACTGTCAAGGTCACTGTATTCTATCTAATAGGCCATAATTCAACGACAAAAGACAATTTAACATAACAAGCCATAAAAAAAGACAAATAGCATAAGGAAATGCAATAAGAAAAACACTTCAAATGTCCCTGTTCTTTTCCCATATCCCTTTGCTAAGTCAGAAACCCCTCCTCTGTTTTTGTGCATTGTTTTATTGAAATAGTTACGCAAGTTCAAATATAATGAAACGGACAGGATATGAGACATCAAACGGATACTCAAGTGAGTAACAAATCGAACAACAAGACAAAGACGAACATTAAAAAAAGATTCCCAGACAGCCGTTGACATGCGAGTGGTGTTAAGAGTAAGAAGACAAGCTAACCCCTCCATCATCATATTCAAACACTGATTCCGTGCTTCTGGAACATATGCTTCTTCTGGTCTCTTTCTCGAAGCCAGCCTTTGGAACCGACCCGATCACATCCGGGGTGAGTGCACTGGAATGGTGAGGGGTGATCCTTCTTGATATGATCTTGAAAAAGCTTTTTCGTTTCGAAACCGTTTAGTCCTACTCGATCGCAGGACACTTTATCGCAGATAAATGCAGAGGAGTTGTGCTCGGTCAGCATGTGATGGGTGAGATCGTCGAGAGATCTAAGATCTTGACTATCTATCGTAGCATAGTCCTGACAACTGACATGTTTGCAGAGAAATGGAGACGCATATATGAAGCCAGTATAGTTGGTCTCAATCTTGTGGTAACTGCTAATGTGCTGTCTAAGGTGGTCCTTCCTCTTGAACCCGTTGTTACCTCGATATCTAAACGTGTTAATCAACAATTGCAACTATCTCGTAACTTAAGTATAGGAGAGTACTTACGTAGAACAATGGGGACATGGATGACGGGGAACATCTTTCTTGTGACGTGCTTGGTGCCGAATCAAGTCACTTAATCTCCCAATTGTTGACTCGCAATCAGGATATCGACAAATATATGCAGAGTGTCCGCTTCGACGGGCATGAGAGTCGAGCTTCACCGTATCTTCGAATAGGTCTTCACACTGATGGCATGCGAGCTTTCCCGCTCCGTGGTATTCCTTCAAGTGTGATCTACTATAGGAAGAATCACTCCATGTAACGAAGCAGCCTGGGATGGGGCATTGAAGAGCTTCATGATTGGTAATTCTGCAATGCTCCTCAAGATCTTTCAATGTATGAAACTTTAACGCACAGCTTTGCACACAAGATAGTGGCGGATGATTGAGGGCCTTGCTTTTAGTACAAAAGATTTCCTGGTGATTTGTATAAAGTGCAAGTTCCGATGTGTCAAGTTCTGATGAGCAAGTAGCGCAGGTTGTATTGGGGTATGTGAACCAGGCTCCGTAACCACATTGGCTATTATTTGTGAGCAAAGCCAAATGATGTGCCAAGAGGGATTGTACATACAGTATACAGTGCCTCAATTCAGCCTTGTCTGCTGGCGAATCCATAGATGCAGGGATACAAAGACTCATCGCCCTTTTTCTATGAGTTAGCATTTTTTTTTAAGCCACTCACTCTGTGCCCATGTCAACTGGATTCGCGAGAGCCCAATCAACAAATTCTTGCCAAGCTTCGGCGGTGATGTCCTCGGGTGATAGGTCGTAGCTGCCGTCCATTTTGTTTGCAAGGCGTCGAAAAGGGCGGATGATATTGACGTTCTGAAAGAGCGGCGATGAAAATTCGAAGTGGGATAGATTTCAAGAGAAAACGAGGTAAATTTTGGCGGAGGATCTTGCTGCGGATAAGCCATAACCATATATTGGTGAGGGAGCTTTGTTACGCTGCTTTAAAGCTACCAGGTCTGCCAAAAAGGGCGTTGTCGAGTTGGTAGGTGGTTGCAAGGGTGTTATGCAGCTTATGGATTCGGTGAGGCGAACGAAGGAATCAGCTCACCCCAGGATACGACCATTCATTCATGATTGCGAATTTCCTGCACACAAAGATCAAAAATCAAGAATTAAATGGACATCAAACCATTAACATGAAAACTCAAGGCGACAGTAGCCTAAGAAAGAAAGGGGCACCGAACCCTCGAATTTAACTTATGTACAAGAATCCATAATTCCATAAACACATACATTATATATATTTTCTTCATTTACCCCCAGATATCGCCAATATCGACGGTCCCAGCCGTGTCCCAATTTATCGCGTCATCTTTCACTTGGTACGCTTCGATCTCATCTGCTTTCCCATCGATTTCCACAACCGCAAACGCAGCTCCAATCGCTGTGACTGCTATGGATTTGAATACTTTTGGATTTTGTGTCGAGTTTGCCATCGCTGATGGATGAGACCCCATTGCCGACCAAGTATTAATAGCTCCTGAATACGTGTTTGTTTTGATACCAGTACGCGATAGTACGAGTGTTTCCCCCCAACTTTCGAAACCGGTTTGCACGTCGCCAGTCCAGTCAACATGTGAGTAAGATGCAGATGCCGCGATTGGCATGTTGAATGTGAAGGAATAGTACGATGCGGCATCTAACTTCCAAGCTTGAGCTAAAGGGTCTCGTTAGCCTGAAATGTATGGAAACAATTCTAAGAATAAAAATGAACTTACTGGGATACTCCCAAGCTGAAATAGTCATGACGCTACTTGGATTTTGATAATACAAGTTTATCTGATCTGCTTCGCCTAGACGGTAAAATGGCTGCAAGGCAAGACCAGTGTTATCTACAACGTCAACCATGATCTGGGTCAAATCCCAGCCCGAGGCAGTCAGATTTCCAACCTGCATTTTGTTGTTCGCATCTTGAAAAGCGATGATGGTGGTATTGCTGCATAATCTGCATTGCCAGTACATCACCGCAACACTTGCATTCTCGGACACTATGTACTTCTCGGAAGACAAGGTTCCTTCACTCCATGAATCTGAAGCGACATTATATATGATGTCGTGAAGAAGATTGTCAGAATCTGAGTACAATAGAGTGATCTCCTGTATTCCTGTTAGTAGGTACTTTACTACCGAAAATATGACAACCTACGAAATCATTTTGAGGCATCGTTACAGCGGCAGCAAATGATGAACCATTTCTAGCGGTAACAACTTGACTTGTCGACCAGTTCCCACTCGATGCATTATTATGTGCTTCCAGTATGTTTCCTTGATTGTCTTGATAATACACTCTAGTGTTATTGACGTTGTTGGACTCGTAGGATATTGCGGCAACATTTCTTTGGAATGGTGCAATAGTAGAGCTCGCCAATGATGCAGTGTTTGTTGAAGTGGGTGAGTTGCTTGTCGATGAATTCGTCGACGAAGGCGTGGATGATGAGCTATTAGAAGATTCTGTACTACCAGATATTTCATCGACAGTGGCTACGTTCTTCTTCTTAGATGCAACAACTCCTCCAACCACTGCCGCTATGATTACGATCAATCCAATGACACCGGCTAAGATGTACCACTTCCATACTTTTCGTTTCTTCTGCGTATCCTCGGTATACGCTATTGCTTCTTTCTCCGTCGACACTGGCTGTTTGATCAGAGGTGCATTGTGTAGTGCCGGTGATGATGGAGCCTCCGAGCAAGCACTATATTGTTGGGCCGATAGATTTGACGATGTCCTGTGCGACAGTGCGATTGGGGACTGGTTATAATTATCGAATGGAAGTTCCGCAGGAAATACCGGCATTCCTATGAACTTCGTCTCTTCTTGATAGTATGGGCGCCCATTCTCATCTATTTGCCTGCTGCCGTCAACAACGGGACTAAATTTATCATGCTGCTGTGGACCATAGTATTCGAAAGGTTGATTAACAACCTCCAACTCGCTGTGTCCAGACATCAGGTCATCACGTAAGTTGAAACTTTGTATGGGTACTTCCGAAGAAAAGGGAAGGGAGGTATTCATAAAACGACTTCCATCGACAAAGCTCAGAAGCGAGGATACGATGAGAAGGGCGAACGACCGTGATATCCTTGATATCCGTTCCCCATCAACGACCCACACAGCTGATCAGTTTGAGCGCTTCTCAACAGCTTGGATCATATGTGGACCTCTCCAAGGATACTCGTAAAAAAATAAACGAGATGTTCCAATAAGTCTTACGGACCCCAAAGACTCCTATGGTTCAGTTCAAGGAAAAAGGTCTTGGCTAGGAGCATGCAACAATGATCGAAATGGTGATGGGAACTCGGCTCCGTGTTCTTGTAAGAGGAAAATCAACAATTCTGGACATGGCACTGACAATTGAGGCCATTGAATGATTTAGCCATGCCAAATTAATTTCGCCTGCTGGAAAATGAGGTATGCTAGTTATTCAAACTTCAACAGTGGGATGACTTTAGTGCTATGAGCCGTAGTGGTTTCAAGCCATCACGCACTGCATCCGGTAAAGTGGATATGGGGAATCACAGATCGTTGGGTCAATTGAGCGTAATTCACAATTTTAAGCGCCGGGAATGCTTACTTGCCATGCTTCAAGCTTTCAACGAAGAAAGTTTGACGCCGTATCCGGTCAAAACCCCTGTACCGGCAGGACAAATGGTTAACTCGAGAGTCGCAGAGCACTTTATTAATCCATCTGGATCTGATTACCTGCATTCAGTCGCCCGCATTCCTCAGACTGGGGAGTTACCTAAATATATGATATATTTGCCACTTCTGCTAAGTTCTAACGTTGTAAGCTTATTTCAACTGTCCAAAAAGATCGTCTCGAAATTTCTTGGCTTCTTCGCAGCAAATTAACATTGGAAGTCCCCGAGGTCCCCGGGTGGGTTCGATTCTCTCGTGCGAGAACAAATTATCATTGCCCATGAGTTTAACCTTAACCATAATCGAGATTATATATTTAGATGAAATAGTAATAATAAATGCACGAGATATCACAAATTTCATTTAGGGTATATTCCGTTCCACATCCGCGACTCCACTAAAATACGGGGATCGCACGTGGAAATGATGTGAATGGCTTCTGCGTTCAAGGGGCTGTATGTTCAGTACATGTTCCAGGAGACTATCTTTCAAATCACTGTTTTGACACCAATCAACAGCAATAAAACATCGATAGATCGAAAGAGTAGCTGTGGACCACTAATAATTTCTTCAGTAGCCGAGATTGTTATGATTGAGGAGACATTCTGTACCCGATCACGTTACTGACACGTGCTTATGAGTTGCTATCATGAGGTCTTTACGTTTACTTACTCATTGCAACGCACGCAATAAGAGAGGGATGAATAGCAATCGAATAGGCATATATGATACTATACAGGTTTGTATATATGTCATCTCAAAATAATAAGCTGAGATGGATGTGTGGTCAACCTGGAGTGCGATATACTTCACTTGTGTGGGCGAAGGACCAACTTTGAGACCGCAAAAAGAAGTTTCTTGATCGTGGTAGTTTCAAGAACCCTTTCAAACCATACAAGCGTATTTGTACTGCACCTGTATATTCATTTTGGGCTAAAACATCAATATTGAAAAGATGTTTGTTGTGTCAAGTGTGATAGAACCGTAGAGCAGCTCTCTACGGCACACCCTTTGCTGGCTGTATCATGGCGTCTTTCAAGAATTAAATCTATTAAAGGGTCTCCATGCTATCCCAAATCAAAGAAATGCATGACAGTACAAATAGGAAACTGTTTCAAGATGGAGGAAGAGTTTGAGATCATAGATCTCCCAGATGGATACCATATCTCCGAACTGAGCGCAGATGATCGCGCAATCCAACCTCTCGTAGCAGCAATGCAGCTGACCGTCACCCGAAACGAAAGAAATAGAGGAGGGCCCCTATTCCATGCGGATCTTAGACAGTCGGATCCAACAGGCAGGGACTTTGGAATGAACATCATCTACGAAATGTTTTCCCGCGGCTTACCCAATAAGCGTCGAATGATGTCCTGCGAAATATGCGAGATGTTCATCAGAGACTTCGGCAACCTTTGCTATCTCTCAGACGATGGAACACTCGTGCCATTTATCTGGCCTGGCGAAGACATCGTCCCGGATTATTACAGACAAGCAGTAGCCAATGTGAGGAAGTTATTTGTGGGGCGCCCACTCGGAGAAGAGTTCCGGAGTCACCTCGAGACTGCTCAACAATGGTTAACCTACTACGCACGCAAATCTGGAAGTTTTGATACTTACGACCACATGGACGTTAGTATTCTGGGTCATGTTCGAGCTTACGGTGGGCCAACGGAATCGGAGCATCTCGCTGAAGTTCTGGAAAGAATACTAGCGGACAATAACGAGAAGACAATCTCTCAGGCACACGCAATTTTAATGAACGATATTTTACCTCATGCCAAATTATATCAGCCATGGATTTCGTGGCTAAAGAACGTTTCCACTGCTATCAAAGTGTGGGACAATCTCAAACCAGAAGCTCGAAAGATTCAGATTGCTAAGTACTCCTTTTTAGCAACTGAAGGGTGTCTACCTTCATTATACAACGGTGAGTTAGCAAAGCTGATGTCTTTTGTTAGAGCTGGTGAAGGTATAACATCAATCCAGTCAAAGTGGATGCAAATAGCAAACCCTCAGGACGGGGTGCCACCAAAGGATATAGCGCGTACAACGTCAAGATTGATATCGGACCTAGGTTATAACACAACGTGTTTTTACAGGTTGTTTATCAAAATCGGTCAGATTCCCAAATGTGTAAGTCATATACTTATAATGAAATTCAATTAGCTTTAGTGTTATCCATACTGATCATGGTGTAGGCCTATCTTTGGACCGATTCCTCCAAGCCTTCCGCCATACCAAGGCCACTATTTCAGCCTCTCGATTCCAAAAGACAAAGCGTCCCAATGACTGTTCAAGATGCTCTCGATAGGGCACCTATCACGAAGATTTGTTTCCGCAAATTCTGCTTAGAAATTATTCCGCAAACATCTTCGCTTTCGCTCTATATCATCGAAGAATCAAAACATGCTGAGAATCTTCACTTCCTCACTACAGGCGTAGATGATCCCCTCGGAAGAACCAAGCCCATATATACGTTCCAAAAACCGGGAGGACATACAGCATCATGGTTTAAAGCATCACATATAACTTCTCCTGAAGAGGTGAATCTATGTACTGGCTGGGTCAAAGTCAAATGCATCGTCTCATTTCCTCACATGTGGGATTATTTTCAGGCCCATCAGAACTCTACTAACCATCAATTCTTCAATCCTATGGCCCATAGAGGATTCGAGCACAAGGATTTAGGAATGAAGTTTCTACTTGTTCTCGACGGCATCAATGATAACCATAACAAAGGATCTGATCTATCAGCTGATCTATTGAATGAAGAACTGAGGTGCTTCAGCAGGGAACAATTAGAGTCTTATAGGGACTCGAAATCTATACGCGGCTCACATATCAATGGTCATGTAGGTGGAGTTGCGGTTGAATCTGACAGATTCAGGAAAGTGATGTTGGGGGTAAGGATGAAGAGTGGCGAGTTTGTGAGGTATGAGGTTGTTAAGTACAAGTACTACGTGGAACAACTTGGGGGACGTTGATGTAGCACACCACAAAGAAAATGGGTTGATGGACAGAAGTTGCCAGCTAGTAATCGAGGATGAGAAGTAGACTCCACGCAATGAATCAAAACAGATAGGCGACGGGGTCCTGAATAACGCCTACAAAATATACACTGATCACAAATTATCTTTACAAATTCCACCTCGTGATACCCAAACACCATTTACATTTTGTTGCAGATCTGATTCACAGGCAGGGTGTGTTCAGGCACCTTTTCCTTTTCTTTTTCTCGCAACTATTCCCCGGCGCCAAAGAACAATGCCGCGCCCAGGATTCGACGCCGCGGGGGCCCCACAAAGTTGGTAGTACAAATAGACAACTTGAGTGTGCCTAATAAAGTTATGTTCCAATTCGCAAGCGCGGACCATGTGAATAATTGTTTGACTGCCTTGCTCAAGAAGAGGATGTGAGAACTCTACGATCTATAGATATTTGTGGCTTTGCATGAATATATCTCGCTTTTTTCCCTCAAGCGAAAATTTTATAGTATATTGATAATTTAATATCATATTTAGATCATCCCCAAAAAACATGCTACATGTAGGTATCATACGGCCAGAAACTTCCGATTTTCTCTGCAAAGGACTGGAGATCTTGAATTGACCATCTGCACAAGACTTAACCGAACAGCAATATGAGATGATGTTTATCCCCTAGAGTGCCAGAGATGGGCTCCGTCGCTTAACAGGGATCTTATCAACCAATTAAACCATTAGGATTTCCTGAATTTGATTCAATATTCATATTTATTCTTTAATATAAAATTCAATTAATATTATTTCTATATCAAAATTTTGAATATTATTATATATGATAATTCTCAATCTTTATTCTTTTTTCAAATTATAAAAAATCGAAATTTGAAATCAAGATTCTATATTATAAATAACGTGACTAAAAAACCATTAAAATATCCATTCTATTCAATCAGGCTTTATCATTCAAGGTATATCGCACAGACCACTTTCGGAGCCCATCTCTGGCACTCTAGGGGATATAAAATCACACAACAAAAAGTTTCTAAAAAGATATTTTGAGGATAAGCCATTTCGAAGATCCAAAGAATAAAAGTGTCACGGCGCCAAGTACTCTACCACTCGGCCACGTAACCCTAAAAGGGTATAAGTAGTTTGATCAATATCAAACCTACTAAGTAGAGTTATAACCAATCCGTGACAAAAAGAGAATTTCTCAGATTTTTAAAACAATGACTTCCAATAATTCAACCCCTAGGTATTCCCAAAAAGTACCTACATACCAAAAAAGTCCTGAATCGACCATTTTGCACGCAATTTCGAATTTCCAGATATAAAATGACGTTACAAAAATCCAAACAACACAACCCCAAGCCCCAATCTCCCTCCCAATTCCACCAACTCTTTCACCCTTCAACATTCAAAGTCTGCCTACCTAATCCCACCAACTTCTACCTAGATACAAAAATTCCAACAAGTCGGCGCTAAGCACACACTTGAGCTTCTTGTGGATATTGAGGAAATGAAAGGAAGGGGAGAGTGTTGCCTCATGTATGTTTCATCTGAGAGATTTATCTCGTGGAATTTGTAAGAGAAATTGATATTTAGATGTGGAGTGAATAGAGAGAGGGAAGGTGGTGTGTTGGAGACCAACACTCTGGACACGTGACTGTTTGTTTTTTTCGGATTTGGTAATTGAATACCTATTTAGGTGCTTATACAATAGTGGAGTTATTGAAGGATGATTAAGGTGTAGAGGTAACGAGATAAAAATGATGGGATGCGAATCAATCGCGTTGAAGACTATACATGATTCCCTCGCTTGGGAGGAAAGGAGAGGAAGTGCTGAATGTTTATCGTTTAAATTTACTATCTAATTGAACCGTTTCCGTTAAGTCATGATATGGACACTATTAATGTCCTGATTGCTATGTACAAATAGGTTCTTGACACCTCATTTGCATGCTGCTTTTCCCCCTCTACTCAAGTTCTATACCGGCGCTCACTTGATCAACCGGATATACCTCTCATATAATACATCGTTGAAAAGATTAATGCATGACAACTGCGACGTGATCATCCATGTATTTACTAATATCACCCAACCCAATACTTGCAAGAATTGAAACTGCTCCAAAAGCAATGCTGACGTAGTATACCCATGGGTATGCGGTAGCATAAGCTTCTTGACCTGCAAGCACGACTTCATTCCAGATAGTAACATTGTTGCCCACCAGCGGCAAAATTTCGTCTAGAAGACTTGCGCCGGTCAATTCCGCAATATGGCTGATGATTTCCAAGTCAAGAATATCATTCTTGTAGCAAGCAAGAGCAATTTTGACGGAAAGTTCGGGAATGAATTTGGTCAGAAAGACATTATAATAAGTTGTGTAACCAATCGCTCCACCCACTACACGAATAGCGAGCGTAAGTGCTGCGATTGTGGCGATCAAGTCGTCGGGACAAATAATAGTGGTGATGATTGAGGCGGGAACTACATTCAAATTGGAGAGTCAGTAATCATGGGCTGGAATTTCTTTTGGGGAGATTGAGCCTGAAAGCCGAATACGCACCTACGATACCACCAATTCCAAGGCCAGCTACGACGAGAATACCATATACCGCGTTGATGTTATTGCGGTCAGCAGCAGCAAGGGCACCACATCCTGCGGTCATCATGCAAGATGAGATAATCATGAGCATACGGTTTCCTCCGCGGAAGACAGATAAGAGCCAAAGAACAACGCATGCTCCGACGAGAATGGAAAAGCCAACAGGAAGACCTCGAATTCCGACACCAATTGGATCATGTCCGTAGACATTGAAAGCTTGTGTGGGCCAGAAAAGAAGAACTGAGAAGAAGTTTGCACCCGAGATAAAGGTGATGACGAGGGTGAGAGCCAAGATACGCGGTTCTTTTCGGAGTCGAGCAGGAAACATGGGATGTTTAGCGCCATAGACCTCCCAGAAACAGAAGGCGACGATGAATACAACACCAAGGATGAGTGGAACAAGCACATGTGCAGATGCCCAAGGATACTAGATTTCGTTGTTGAGCTTTTTCCTGTTTTGCAAAAGTTAAAATAGAATTACTTACCTGATATCCACCCCATAGAAGACCAGCGACGAAAAGAATTAGACCAACAATTGAGAGGAACCCGCCGAGAAAGTCAATTTGAGATATAATCTCTTTGCGTGAGAGGCCGTCAGAATTAACTCGGGGAGGTGGAAAGTAAAATATTGCGGTTATGACGAGCCCCATAAATGCCCAGAGACCACAGAACAGTCCCACGTATCTCCAACTTGAATGCGATGCGATCAACTGACCCCAGAGTACAGACGGGGTAAATGGTAGAATAGTGAAGATTAGAACGGCGACATATTTTCCACGCTTTGCTGTTGGTGCAAGTTCGGAGGTTGCAGCAAGTGCTGTCAATTCGTTTATGCCAGCGCCAGCGCCTGCAATAGCCATACCACCTGTAATGCTTAGTATATTGTGATGTGATTTTTGGCACAAAACCTACCAATGAAAACGTTCATTGAGTGTGTTGTGGAACAAACAATCATTCCAATGACAATCAAACCAGCACCAAAGATGGCAATGTACCTTCTGCCAAATAGATCTGATAAAGCTCCCACAAATGGACAAACCGCTGCCAAAGCGAGTAGATTGGATAACACAAACCAAGTCCACCTGTCTGACCCCCCCAAATCGCCGTAGATATATGGGGGAATACCACCTAAATACTATCAGATCGAAACTGATTTTGATGTAACATAATAACTTACCGAAAAGATATACTGGTATCTGGGAACCTGTCCATAAGAAAGCCATTGCAACCAAAGACATCATTCGATTCATGGTCATCTATGAAGCACTGTTTAGCCACAAATCTTGGAACTTATCTTCTGCATGCCTACCGGTGGTTCACGGTCATGGTCTTCACCGTCTCCGTATGTTCGTACGCCATCTTTCTCATAGTAATGCGCATTTCCTGGGACTCTGGAAACAGTACGGACAACTTCCACGTGGTCTGCTGTATTGGCCCCAAGAGGGCCAATGTCCTTATCGAGTGAGCCTGACATTGAATTGTCCGAGTGAAGCGGAGGAGAAGAATCTTCTTTAGCCATATTATAATAGGATTGAAAAGAAAGAAGAGAGATGTTAAGACTGGTTGTACGGTCCTACAGTGAGAATGAAAGATTTATGTAGTGAACAGAGTTGAAGAAGTCTGGAACAATTGGAAGGAAACCATGGGCATCTTTACCTTCTTATCCCTAGGGGCCATGCTAATCTCCATATATCTCAAGACGCATTCATATACTTTGTTAGGTGCATGACCACTATTCTATAATACCCTTGTCAAATGTGGTTTTCCAAGCTAGCTCAGTGGCGTTTTCCCCAATCTCGAGAAGATCCTCATTTGACCGGTACATTTATTGGCGCATTTGATGGTTTGTACTATCGACCTTAGTCGAGCGATCTGAATTGAGACCTTTCCTCTTTAGCAACCCACCGAGGTATAATTTTTCAAGCTCCCCATCAATTCTGTGCCTGTAATTTATAAAATGCATTCCTTTCGAAAATGAAGAGGAGGGACTTCCCTCTTGGCCTTCCTAGCGGCCTTTTCTCATGGTGATCGAACGAACCAATCTCCACGTTGATCAACACGAATTGAATCAAAATCGTTCCCACCATCATAAACGGGTCCGACGGAACACTAACAACGCAGGTTGTACACCGCAAGGATATTTTTGAGTTCCTGTGCCTTTCTTTCCAAATCATACACTACCTACATGCTGCGATATTGAATTGACCAGATTGTTGGGCTAGATTTCTGCAATAATGTATGGAATAAGATTCGTTGGATTGGTGGCCCATGTGTTGATAAGGGGCCCTTGCTGTCTGACAAGGGGAGTGAAGAAGCTATGCACCAATTGAACTCCATGTAACCACGCATCGTCATCAATTGATCTGGGGTATTGAAGTTGAAGGAGTTACATCCCGGAGTAGGGTCTCCAAAAGGCTTCGATACAAACTTGGCTGAATCTTGAGATGGATACGAAAGATATGTGTTTTGCCATGGAGTTTTGGTCAAGTCTTCTGACCGTCGCTTACCAGCTCGTAGCCTGCTGGAAATGTTCTTTTCTCTCATTTTTCGACAGAATTACAAGAGTCCGAAGCCACAGAAATGACAATCGGCTATCGAAGAAAGGGATCCAAAAATAGGAAGATTTGATGATGATGCAACAGATCATCAGCCGTTCTTTGAAAACTCCTCGGTCGAAAATGTGGAATTTCGCGGGGTAAAGACTGGCATGTTACATGTAAGCCTAAAGTGGATTGGAAAATAACACTAAAGTCTTGGGTGCCAGGTTAGTCCACCGTGGTCGTTTATCGAAGATGGGGAACCTGGGGAAAATAGAAACGTCCGAATTCTGTACTTGGACAAATGAATACGATGCTGTTTTGCTCGAATCGTCTGCGTGAATACGTAGTAGATCGTTCTTGTATTGACCGTGTCTACTTTGTCGATGGGTTCTCGGCTTTGCCCAAATGTCAATCCGGCTATTTCGCGTCAATTGTACAGCACAGTATTTGAAGAACGCATGCAATTCGCAATTGATATAGCCTCATCAATACCTATTCCGCGTGATGCGTGGTTGGTTTTGTACTCCTTACCAGTTTTAGCATCCTCAAAATCTCTTGATAATAGAGGTCCAGTCTCCCTTCCAAGTACTGCATACTTGATAGATTCTTCGATGGATTGAGAGTTTGCATGTATCTTACATGGTGACCGTCGATAGATACATGTTGACAGTAACCCAGGATAGATTTTACGTGTTAGCCTAAATGACTTGCATTGCAAAAATTGTCACTCTAGGTTACCCAACCATTTGTCAGTTCCATGTCCCGAGTTGTTTTTGGCGACCATAAACCGCGAATCAGTGCTATAGTCCAACCTCGGGCACCGAGGTATTGAACAGTTGATCGAAACCTTCAATGATCCAATCTTTGCTAACAAGCCAACCAGTCGCCTCAAACCATATAAGCTTAGCGGCGAGTGTTTTGTTGTTTGGTCATAAAAGGGAACTAGACTTGTATTCAGGGCTTAGTGTTTGGTCACGTACGTTGATCGGATAAAAATCCGCTGCTTTGAATGGCACCAATTTCCATCATATATCTCGATAAAATGTAATCTTAGCACTATTTTGACAAACAACCGATTGATGCCTTGTCAGATATCTAGAAGTTGATACTAATCAGAGGGGATAGATTGGCAAAATCCTGAATCAGTCATATGTTTTTCGTGGGTTGATATCCTCCTTTCCCACTGGGGAATTTGTCGGAACAGAGATAAAATCTCAAACGAGGGATAACTTAGCTGAGTTTCCATCTCACATATCTCGAAAATCTGATCGAAAATTGAGCCCTGGAAAAGAATGGACTATGGAGACCATTAGTAACGAAAAAAAGGCAAAACCTCATTGATTGAAATTGGCTCGACTATGCTAATAGAATCACAAAAGGGCTTGCGCAATGTCTTGAGATATTTTTTTCTACCAAAAACCGCTTAATCGTTTCAGCGCTGTATCCACACCATCTCGCACAGCAATAGTGCCTTTCCATACTGAAAACCTCTCGCATCCTTTCATTTAAACCATAATTCGTGTATGAATATCCACTACTATAAGACTAGATCAGATCTAAGCCATAGCATGAGTCTTTGTCCATTCTCTAGCAGTCGCAATTGCGGCCGGCTCGTCCTCTTTCCATCTCTTTGCTACTTCTGGAGCTAATGGATCGTCCGGGTTGGGAGCCCCGAGAAGAGCTTGGATCGAGAGGAGGATTGTTCGGATCTGGAGTGCAGGAGACCAGTTACCTGAACAAGTCGGGGTCAGTCGACTGCATATGAGGCAAAGTCATGACATGGGACATGAAAATGAGGTTACATACCTTTGAGAACGTCTAAACAAATTCTGCCGAGCTTATCAATATTTGGGTGATAGATCTTTGTAAGGAATCTAATCTTTGGAGGAGTCATCGGATAGTCATCTGGTAAAAACAACTCCAGCTTGAAAATACCGCCTGTAAATCACATTAGCCTACTGAAAGTGCTAAAACTTGTCCGTAGTGTAGCGACCTTCATATGGAGAAGAGGATGGGCCGTGTATCGAGACGTCAAAATATCTTAAGTTGTCCTCATGGGGAACTGCGTTGATACCTGGAACACTGTATGTTTTCATTAGTTACAGCATGCACGATCCAACACAAAAGATTCACATACGGCTCTTGCATCAATCTCTCCGTCTCCTTAATGATCCGTTTTGGTAAAGCCGCCATGTCGATAGGGTTCTTTCTTGACTGTCCGTTGAACTTGCACTTAGTTGAATTACTCTTTTAGCAGTTATCGAGTCCAAGGCTCAACATACACCAATAAAGGTAGGGGTTTTTTTCGTGCTCGTGATGTTGATAAGATAACCTTAGAGGTACCGTATCGTTCAGATCGGGTAGTGGGGTACTTTATCAAGGGAAATTGTTCTGGACGTCTCGGAAACCACAGATGTGGGCGTGGGAAAAGTTGAATGAACTATCGAAGGGGTCTATGGAATGATTCGCGGTAAAGAAGTCACCGTGATATCGGTTTGCTGAGTTTAGGGCGATAGATAAAGAAAGGAAGAAAGAAGAGGCCTTTCCAAAAATTTGATGCTATCTTGATGTACCTATCAATCTCTTAAAACAGCACAGCCCATGCACAAGGCTGATAGAAAGGCTTGAACGGCAACTCCCGTTTAAGGTTAACGCTAGTACCACCTTGTATGTAGCACTAACTGCGACAATTTCACATCTCCAGTTACTAATAAGTATATACCAAACTTATATACCAAACTCTTGCCTCATTATCGTCATCCAAACCTGCCATTGAAACAACTTAAAGATCTTCATGCCCGTTAATCGTCATAGCCAAACATTATCGTTTTGATCTTCTCTCCCAAAACTGTATGCGGTTAGGTTCGTTCAAGGATTGCAGAATGTCTATACCCAAATTAGATAGCACTTTTTAAGTTTACATACCTCGAGCATCAAATTCGTCCCGTAGTCATTCCCGTACGAAGTGATTGTATTGATTTGGAGAATGCGAAAACTTTAGCACCAAGATGATGGAAGAGTCGAGAAAGGGGAAGACCATTAGGTCGGCTTTTGATAGCACTACATTTGATGCAGATGTGTCTATTCATGTAGACCGAAAAGTCGGATCCGCTACTATATCTCCTTCCGGACGCGACGTTGCTTTAGCCTCGTGAGTACTTCAAAAATCGCATTTCGTGATATGCTAAGATTTTTCTCTTGTCCAGAACCGATGGCTTAGACATAATTGATCTTGATTCCCCTCTCAATCCCCCGCGACATCTTCGACATGGCCTACCATGGCTTGTGGCTGACGTTCAATGGTGCCCTTTCGCAGTTCGCGACTACTGGGTGGTTAGCACTGCCAATCAGAAGGCTCTTGTCTGGAATTTGAACATGCAGGAGGACGCTTCTCATGGCGCAATTGAACACACACTCCATGGGCACACAAGAGCTATTACCGACATCAATTTCTCGGCATATCATCCTGATATCCTAGCAACATGTGCTGTTGATGGATATGTACATTGTTGGGATCTACGTAGACCACGGCAACCTGTTCTGAGCTTTTGTGATTGGTTTGCTGGTGCAACACAGGTCAAATGGAGCCGTCAGGATTCGCATATCTTAGCTTCATCGCATGACCGATGGTTACGGATCTGGGATGACAGGAAAGGCGCCGTTCCATTAAGGTCCATTAATGCACATGAATCAAAAATATATGGCATTGATTGGAATCGTACCCGTGCCTCAAGCTTAGTTACTTGCTCTTTGGATAGAACAATTAAATTTTGGGATTATGAAAACGAATCCGATATTCCAGAGCGCACTATACATACTGGATTCCCAGTCTGGAGAGCTCGACACACACCGTTTGGTTGGGGAATCTTAGCTATGCCCCAGGACACTCCCGGAGACCTTCATCTCTATGACCGGCGTATTACGGGTGACAACTCTACCGACACTATCACGGAAGCAGTTATTACCTTTCCAGGGCATG